ATACCTCTGTACATTCCGCTCCAATTCATCTGTTGAAGTGGATTTTACCCCAGTGGTGGAGAATCTAAGGCCTGGGGCCCAGATGTGACCCCCAGCTTGCCTGGATCTAGTCCCTGGGGCTCAGGGCTCCACCCCCCCCCCACATTAGGGGAACCCGCAATGGTGCTCCTTTATGCTGGGGAGAGCCCCGAGCCTCAAGGGAAAAGCTAGTAGCCTGGGCACCCCAAGGCTCTGGTGTGAGAGGGGAACGTGGAGAATGTCTTTCACCTTCTCAGTCAGCTGATTCGGAACAGCGCGGCAGCCATTTTTATTTTAATGATGCGGGGATTATTTAAATCCCCGCTTCTTTGACTATGCCGAATAAACTATTTTACATGGCTCCATCGACGGAGCCATGTAGTCTAGATGTAGCCTTAGTGAGGACTTTTTTTTTTTTTGCTTAGCTTCTCACTTGTGCGCAGACCCCAACTCATCTTTCTGTGGGTCAGTGGCCCCTGATCCAAAAAAGGTTCCTCATCCCTGGTGTGCCCTAATAAATCTGTTAGTCTTTAAGGTGCCACAGGACTCCCCCTTGTTTTTGCAGGTACAGACTAATACGGCGACCCCTCTGAGACCTATCACTACAAGGACACCCATCACATCACTGAGCCCAGGTCTACACTACTGGAGAAAGTCGACCTAAGATACGCAACTCCAGCTACGAGAATAGAGCTACGAATAGCTGGAGTCAATGTACCTTAAGTCGAATTTCTGCTGCATCCCCATTGTGGGAGGTTGACTGGAGAAACTCTCCCGTTGACTTCCCTTACTCCTTACAACCCGGCGGAGAACGCGGGTCAAGAGGCGCACCATCAGCGGTGGGTCCTTACTAGATCTGCTAAATCGAATCCCAGGAGATCAATCTCTGGGTAAGTATAGACCTGCCCTGAGTAGTCACAGGAGAATGCAACTAATCCCAGGGGCACCATCCTTGTCCAAGGAACTGCCAATGGCCCCTTTGAACCCTTGTGGGATAAACTCTTGGCCCATGTTAAAATGAATCCATTATTAATGGCAGGGTTCCAATATCAGCCACATACCCGCTCGTCCTTTGCAACTTCTCTCTGGTGTGTTGGATCCAGGGTTCCTTCCCCTCTGCACCCCCGACTCCCTGTGAAGACGTAACTGGCTCGCTCACCGCTTGCTCACGCTCACCTATGGATGAGAGAAGCAAAGAGAAGAGGGTGAGCAGGCCAAGCCCACAGCAGGACAGCCCATGCCTAGAGCCCCCGGCAGCCTCGAGAGCAGCAGAACAATGAGAAATGTGATGGGGGAACAGGAGGTTTTGGAGGCTTCTTCACTTGCTCAGTGGGGAAAATGACTAAGGAAGGAACTAAGTGGTGTCTGAGCAGCCCTTGAGCTGCTAGAGTTTGTGTTTTGTTTAGTAATTCTGTAACCTCAACCATTTTTAACGATTACATGGTTACTAAAATAATCCCGGGGGGCAGGGCCAACAGCCAGTGCGCTCCCAGCTCCCAACCCCACTCCCAGGGAGCCCCCTGTCATGCCATACTGCTGGCTCTGATACAGAGGCAGCAACGTGGGACAGCAGCAGCCCCTGTCCGTGGGGGACCTGAACTCCCATGGACAGAGGTTGATCCGGCATCCCACGGAGCAACCTCTGTCCGCAGTGAGCCTGGGTCCACCACAGACAGAGGCTGCTTTGTGGCAGCCTCCTCTGTCACGCACCCCTCCAACGCTGCTGCCTCTGCTACAGAGGCAGCAACGTGGGAGGAGACAGATGGCTGCACAGAGCCTGTGCTCATGAGGAGCCAGCTTTTAAGCCAGCTCCCCACCCCTTGCTGCTTCTGTGAGAGGCAGCAATTGGGGGAGGGGGGCCAGGCAGCTGCACAGAATCAGCACACCCAGAGAGACGGCTTAAAAGCCAGCTCCCCACAGGCACCAGTTCCCACTCCCCCCCACCTTGCTGCTTCTGATACAGAGGCAGCGGAGGGAGGACTGTTGCATGTAGATTAACGGATAAATCTAAGCTTATTGGCTAATTGTTTCAATGTCTATACACTAACATCCCTAATGGTAAGAAAACGTATTAAAGAACATGGAGCCAGTACACATCCACCGTAGATTAACGGATGTGATGGCCAGACAGCTCATTAGATCATCTAATCTGGCCTTTTGCATAACATGGGTGTGAGAGGGCACTTGCCCTACACTGGCCCTTTAAGGGCAAACCTCAGCCCTGAGCAAGGGCTGAGAGTAAAGCCCCAGTGGAGGCAGGTCTGGCTAATGAGGGCCCAGCTGGGGGCTATATAATGAAGGACTCCTGGGCTATGTCTACACTCGCAACTTCTTGCACAAGAAATATGCAAATGAGGCTAAGCGTGGAATACTGCCAAGCCTCATTTGCATACATAATGAGCCACCATTTTGCAGAGGAGGCTCTTGCGCCAGAAGGAGCTGTCTACACTGCTCCTTCTTCCGCAAGAAAAACCCTCTTGCACAGTGCCGCGACGTCGATTATTTTCAGGAATAACGGAATCACTCCCTTTGGCTGCAAACAGTGAACCGCAGCCTAGGGGAGCCGTGAGGCTCTGTGGCCGTGGAGCCGGTAAGAAAACAAACCGGAGCAACTCGGTAGCAGCTGTCTCAGAGCTCGCAAGGCACGTGTCCCGGGGCAGACTGCAGGGGTCCACTGAGTGGGTGTTCGATTTGTGAGAGCCCAGGGCAGAGAAGCAAAGCCCTGCCTTATGGAATTGCAAGATTGGGACCTGAGTCCTCCACCCAGACCTGCAGGGGAAGCCCAGCAACTTCCTTTTGCAGTGAAACCTACAGCCCCGGGCAATCTGCCTCTCTGGGGGAGGTTAAACAGACCTTAGCAGCCAGCATGTATTCCCTGGGAAGACATTTCTGCCCCACATTCAAGTCAGCTCATTACATTGTTATCAATCAACAAAGGGGAGCAGGTGGAGGGGCAGGGGATTGGGGGAAGGAGGGGTTGGGGTGCCAGAGGCAGACTCTGGCCAGGAAGTGCTTATCTAGGTGGCTCCTAGCCAGCAGGTACTGCAAGCAGCTCCCTGCCTTCCATGCTCCCGCATGCTGCTCAGAGCATCCGTCTACAGGGGCCATGTGCTTCTCTGAGGGTACTTCACACCCTGCCTGCACCGCGAACATAGCCCAGGCAGCTCCTGTTGGCCGGTTTGTGTAAAAGCCTGAAAACTAAAAAGTATTTTCCCGATTTCCCAACGCTGCTCTGTGACTCCACCTGGATACCTGACTATTAACAGGACCGAGTGAGCCTCAAAGAAACTGCATCATTATTGTCATCCACCAGAGGGAAGTGTGTCCCCAGGAAACACGCTGTCTGGTCCGTACCAAGCAGTCTGGCTTCCTTCATCACAGAAATGTATCGAAGTGACAGGCCAGGGCCGTTTGTCACCTGCTAGTGACAGAAAGTGAGTCGCTTTGGAAAGATTTACCACTCGAGCTCAGGCAACCGCAGCACCAACGGGAGTCTGGAGCCCTGCCTGCAGTCTTGAATGATGCCACCAAAAGCCAAACGTTGCTCACGGGGCAAAAGCCACCAACCACCACAAAGGTGCATACACCAGTGAAGTCCCACTTCTTGTGCTGGCCCTGTGCCTGGGGGGAAATTCCACCCAGAATGCACCTGGGCACTTGTACAATGCTGCCTACCCAGCAGTTGTTCCTTCCTGATCCCTCCAGGGGAGACTGCTTCCTGCCCTGAAGCATGAGGATGAACCTCTTCTCTGTTATCTGAGTACAGGGATGAGGATTCCAGCTGTATCCCTGAAGTCCCACTTCTTGTGCTGGCCCTGTGCCTGGGGGGAAATTCCACCCAGAATGCACCTGGGCACTTGTACAATGCTGCCTACCCAGCAGTTGTTCCTTCCTGATCCCTCCAGGGGAGACTGCTTCCTGCCCTGAAGCATGAGGATGAACCTCTTCTCTGTTATCTGAGTACAGGGATGAGGATTCCAGCTGTATCCCGTCCACTGCTGACCCATCCTGTGTGGTACTAAGGGCTAGCCTTGAATCAGATGGCTGCAGACATCAGCGTGCTGCAGGACCAGTCCCTAAGGCGGGGCAAGCAAAGCCTTGAGCAGGCTCCATGGCTTCCCTGCCCCTGCATACAGCTCAGAGCTCTGAGCCTGGGAGGAGGTTGGGAGAAGGAGGCTTTGCATGCTGCCCCTGCCCACAGCACAATCTCGCAACTCCCATTGGCTGAAAACTGGCCAACAGGAGCTGCCTGGGCTATGTTCACGGTGCAGGCAGGGTGTGAAGTACCCTCAGAGAAGCACATGGCCCCTGTAGACGGATGCTCTGAGCAGCGTGTGGGGACATGGAAGGCAGGGAGCTGCCTGAAGTACCTGCTGGCTAGGAGCCACCTAGATAAGCACTTCCTGGCCAGAGTCTGTCTTTGGCACCCCAATTCCTCCTTCCCCCAATCCCCTGCCCCTCCACCTGCTCCCCTTCCCCAAATAACCCAAACCTTCTGCATCCCCATCCCGTCAGACTTTATCCCTTCTCAGACTCTGCACTCCAACCCCCTGCTGAAGGTCGCAACCGAAATCCCTGCACCCACCACAGGTCGCCAACCCCCTACTTCACTCAAACTCCCTCCCAGACCCCACACTTCCTCCTGCACCCAATCCTCTACCCCAGGCTCCCTTCTGCACCCAACCTCCATCGCAGACTCCACCTCCCCCTCCATTAACATCATGGAAGAGTGCGGCCCTCGACCATTTACCAAGTTTTGGCGCGTCTACCCATAAAAAATTACTGCCCACCCCTGCCACTAATGAAACCCAAAAGCATCTGAGCTGCACTACTTACAGTGACCTGGGGGTGGCACCGTGCTCATTTAAACTGATTCATTTAAAATCTTAATATTTAATAAAATGGCCCAGTGCTGAGAATTGCCACATTGGATCAGACCCATGCCCCACTGTGTGAAGACGCTCCCGATGAAGGTGCACAACCCCCCTCCCCCCAGTATCTAGCTATGGGAGCTGTATGGCCCCCAATGCCAGGCATCTGAGCACTGCTCAGTCTAATACATAACCACCCAGTTGCCCCTTGGTGGCAGGGCATTGCTATTACCTTCACTGTACAGATGGGAAACTGAGCCCGAGGGTGGCTAAGTGACTTTCCAAGGTCATACTGGAAGGCAGAGTAGGGACTCTCAAAGTCCATGCTTGCACCCTAACCACGAGAGCAGGGGTTCTCAAAGGTTTAGGCCTGCGACCCAACCCACTCAATGCAGACCTTTCCGCAGACCACCAGCCAAGATGACAAAATGGTTGCAGGAGAGGATGAGGGTGTGGGGTCTGGCCAGGAGATAAGGTGATCAGGTATTGGCAAGAGGGAGGGTGCTGGAGCGGGCTGGGGGTGCGGAGTATGAGCATGACAGGGAAGGAGGATGCTTACCTAGCTCCCCGCCTCCCACTGCTCCCATTGGCCATGATTTTGGCCAATGGGAGCATCAGGGAGAGTCTCCAGGTGAGTGGTTTCCTGCACTGCCGTTCCCCCAGTTGGTGGGAGACTGTCAGTGTGTGGCACTGCTTCTTGCCCCCGCGAGCCAGATCCAGCCTGGAAGGCTTATCCCTGGGAAGTCAGAGCTGGCACTCCAACCTGGTGGGGGGCAGGGAGGGGAGGGGGCTGGAAAGACAGTGCAGGCAAGTGAGCTCCAAGCCCACAGGACCACGAGGGATCCACGGACCACACTTTGAGAACCACTGCCCTAGGCTGTCCCTTCTCAGTAGGCGGCTAACAGCAGAAATGTGACTCAGCTAAAGTCACAAGACCAGGAACAGAACCTAGTTCTGTCAGTCACATACCCTACCCCAGGGGTGAGGAACCTTTTTTGGGCCGGGGGCCGTTGACTCACATTAAAATCAGTCGGGGGCTGCACACAAATGAGAAGCAAACCAACCAACCCACCCTCACTGAGGCAGCCCCGACTGAGAAGGCACTCCCCACATTCCCCTCCCCACATTCCCCTCACACACCAAGGGACTCAATCTAGTGGATTTTGTGTGCTTCAGCCCCCCGGGGGATGGCAGCGGAGCTGGAGCACCATCATGGACTCCCCCATGCTGGGGAGAGAGCCCTGAGCCTCAGGACCCAGATTCAGGCAAGCCAGGGCCACACCTCATCCCTGGGCCCTAGGTTCTCCACCCCTGCCCTACCCTCTAGACCACACTGTCTAACTGGGCCCTAGGTTCTCCACCCCTGCCCTACCACACTGTCTAGTAGGACTGAACTAGATTCACTGGGATTTGAACCCAGAACTTCCTGCACGTGTCACAAACGCAGTAACCCCTACAGCATAGACGCAGCTGGAGCTAGGCCACAGTGACAATTCCATATGCGCGTCTGCATCTGAAGCTGGTTTAATGAGGCTCACTTATCATTGGGATTGCTCTTTAATCGCCTAAGCCCTGAGACCCTCAGAGAAAGGTCATGAGAGCTTGGTAAATCAGATCATTACAGTACATCCAGCCTGACCGGAGCCCATATTTCTCACATGGTTGGCAGAGAGCAGAGAGGAATCAATACTCACTGATGTGGCACCGGCCCCTGCTTTGCTGTGAGCAGTGGGCTCCATTCACCCTCCCAAGGCACTCACTGTAATTCCTGCGGGTTGGTAGTTTGTCGTTTCAGGGAGTTCCGGCCTCATTTAGTCGCCCTTCAACAAGACAGCAGCAAAAGCTCAACACGGACAGGACACAGGTGGTGCTGGCGGGATGAGGGAAGGATCATAAGTGCAGTGCAAGCAGCAGTGGATTTAGGGCAGGGCGAGCGGGGCGGCTGCCCCGGGCCCCGCACTTCCCAAGGCCCCGCGCATGCGCCTTGGCACCACGGCGCATGCGCTGTGTCAAAGGGGGGGCCCCACGAAATTTTGCTGTCCGGGGCCCCGCGGCGCTGCCCTGGGCCCCACAGCACTCTCATCCGCCCCTGAGTGCAAGGTTTCTGGTTGTAATCTGCCCCACCTGCTGGTTTGGTGAGGGCTTCCCCCGGGATTCCGAAATCTAGAATCCAGGGTGGCATCCAGCGTTGGTGAGTTTCCTTTGGATCCAGGCCTCATCAGAGTGGACCACTGCATAGGTTACCTTTGGAGACCATGTACAAAGCTACAGAAGGTGCAGGACAGCTGCCCTGGCTTCCTCTTTGCCTCAGAGGGTGTGGCTTTTGGCTGCAAGGCATAACACAATGGGCATGACGTTCCTTCCCTCTGGCCTTCCCACATCCTGGCTCACTCCCCACCTGTTCCTACACCCAGAGTAAAGATATGCACAAGCTTCAGTGTTCCCAGGGCCCTAATCCCACTGGACCTCGCTTACCCATCTGTCCAAAGGGAAAGAATAACCCTGTTTCTCTGCATCACCATCTTGGGGATGAATCCATTAGTAGGGATGTTAAAATTAGATTAATCAACTAATCGACTAGTCGATGGAATTTCCATTGACTATTTGATTAGTTGATGAGGGCGCTTCCACTTTGAAAATGTAGCAAGAGCCCACCTGGCTGTTGCTACATTTCAAAGGTGGAAGTGCCACACGGAGTTCCGCCTTTGAAATGCACAAGAGCCCCAGCAGGCACTCTTGTACGTTTCAAAGGTGAAACATCACCGCTGCGCCTCTGCCCTTTCCCATGGGGCTGGAGCTGGGGGGGGAACCAACTGCCTTTTTCTGATAGTGGAGAAGCGACTGATAGACTAGCATGTCGACTATCCAATAAGCTTTTGCTTATCGGATAGCCGACTAGTCGATTAGTCACTTACATCCCTATCTATTAGCATTTGAGGGGCTCAAATCCTGCAACAACGGGGGCCAAGGGACCACACTGGGCCAGATCCCCACCTTGCATGGTCATTTATACCAGGAGCACGGAACCGACAGCCTGTGAGCTGAATTTGGTCCCGGTTTAATTTAATCTGGCCCTTGGCTAGTCTCTACACTGCAGGCTGGAAGCCCTGAGTTTCAATGCCCCACTGCGGGACGGGAGCACAGCGCATGCCAAGTTAAGTATGAGTACGTGATTTATTTATTTATTTGCTTCCCACCTTGAGAGCAGGTGAGCAGTGAGGGGTGGGTTGCCTTTTGTGTGGCCCCCGATTGAGTTTTCTGTGGGTCAGTGGCCCCTGACCAAAAAAAGGTTCCCTACCCCGACTTACACCACTGCAAGATAGATGTAAAACCCTTCTCAGATTAGGTGGCTTTCTGCAGGCACTTTGCACAGCTGTGCACAATCACATAAGGTGCAAAGCAATGGAAAGTCAGGCCCTGGTGCACAGGCTCCCAAATATTAGACACTTCAAATTACTTTTTCAGGTAATGCTACAATTTCCTGTTTTTCAAGGGGATGAAAATTCTCCATAGGGGGCTTAATTCATTACTGTTTGTAAAATGCTTTGAGTTTCTCAGATTAAAGATACTACAGCACTGAAGTACAAAGAGCTGTTACTGTGCATCATTCTGGCAAAGACAAAATATGCTTTTTTTTCTTCTCATAAGGGCATGTGTTGAGAAATAGGCCGTTCCTACCAGCATGCAACAGAATCAGCCTGCTGTGGAGAGAGAGAGAAAATGCATGCAGTAGAGAAAGGCAGTGTTTTATAATTTATCACCAACATATAGTGATCAAGATTCACTTTTATGAAATATTCCCTTCTGAGGCTGGGCTGACAAAAACAATACTTAGCACTTTACAAGAAGCATCTTCCTTAGGAGGGTCCCAGAGCACTTTACAAAACCTAATTAAATCCTCTCATCCCTCCACTCCCATCACCACTGCAGAAAGAAAAAGAGACTAGATTGGGTAACCTGGATGGATTTCACAAGAGCAGCCTGTGGAATCAGCCAATTACAGAGATTTCTAGAAGGGCAACGTCTTCTAGATGGCTTTACAGCATCATGCTTAATCCTGTGAGGATTGCGTGAATTTAGCTCCCAATGGACACTGAAAGGGATCTGTGCTTGGTAGGTTCTCAGCACCTCAGGAGCAAGTTTTCCAAAGGTCTGCTGAACAGCACCTGTACAATTAGCAAAAGCACTGGGTGAATGCACCAAATGCCAAATTTGCACACCAGGGCTCACAGAACACGAGGAGAAAAATGAACATGCGCCAGTGCAGAGCTGCCACAAGGACTTCCCACCAACTGTGCTCCCAACCCTCAGTGTCTGGAAAATCCGGGTTGTGGCTCCTGTGGTCCCAGCAGGGACTATAGGAAGTAGAGCAGTTCTGAGGCTGTTCTAACTTAGTCAGGAGACTAGGCACTCACCTGCTACGCCCCTGAACACAGAAGAATTGAAACCGCTTGCAATTTTATCATGTCTTGTCTCACCATATTTCATGCTTTTCTTGGAGCCTGAGATCCAGGAGTCAAATGAGAATCTCGGCTTTTATTTAGGTGTTTTTTTTTACCAATCCCCCCCCCCCAAAAAAACCCCTTGACTACATGACCGAAAGGCCCCATGGCCAGCAGGCAAATCAAAATATCTCAGCATTCATTAGGACTGCAACCTCCTGATATTTAAGCCCTGCCCCTGACTGGGGTGGGTTTCCCTTAAGTTTGGACATGGGGAGGGGAAGGGGGGGGTGACACCCATGGTGAAAGCTCCTAAATACCCTTAACTCTGCCCCTGGCTGGGGCCTGCCTGTGACACAAACGCGAGGGGGGCAGGGAGAGACCCCGCCCCGGATACAAGGGGGGGGGGAATATGGTGGGGAAGAGTCCAAAGCCCCCCGCAGGAAGTGAGGCCCTGGGAGGGGGGGCAGGCGCGAGGCCGCAAGGCCTTGTGGGGCCGGAGGGGGCGGGGTCAAGGGGCCGAGCCGGGTGCGCGCGCTGCGGGCCGGGCCTAAGACCCTACGCGAGGGACGCGCCCGCCGTGGCCCCTGCCGATGACGTCACGGGCTCGGGAGGGAGGGGCTGAGCCCAAGGCCAGGAGAAGGCGAGGCCTAGCCGTGGCCCCGCCCCTCCCCGAGGCTGATCTCGCGAGAACTCTGGGAGTGGGGGGGGCGGAGGAACTCCAAATCTCGCGGGGAGCCCTGGACCACTGGCCAGTGGGGGAGCTGAACTGGGACCTTCCTACAGGAAAGCCTGTCGGGAGGGGCTGGCTCCGGTGGGGGGGACCCCATTGGCTGGGGGAGGGGTGGTGTTCTATGGAAGGCACCCCATTGGCTGGTGGGGGGAAGGGCGGTTACCATTGGTTGGGGGGGGGAGGGGCAGTGTTCCATGGGGGGCACCCCATTGGCTGGGGGGGGGATTACCATTGATTGAGTGGGGGAGGGGCGGTGCTCCATGGGGTTCCCCAGGGGCAGGGTCTGTGTGGCCCTCCCACACGAGGTTGTATGTGGGGGGAAGGGCTGGGCTCTGAATAAGTCAGAGGGTGCCGGGTTTCCCCCATGGGGTAGGTCAGGCATGTCCAAAGTCCGGCCCGCGGGCCAATTGCGGCCCGTGTTCCAGTTTAATACGGCCCCCCAGGTAATTTGGCAATATCTATCTTTTATGGCCCCCAACGAATCCATATGTATTGAGATGAATACATTGTAAAATCTCAGTTAATGTCAGTTGGTCTAAATCAGTTATAAATATATTTGGACACAACATGTATACTTGGTGTTATGTTCCTGTTCATATTTTTTGAACTTAAAAGTTGACAGACAACCTTTATTACCAATAATATGTAATGTACTTTACAATGTTCCTGACATATATTTCAGCTTCCTGGATTTTTTTTTCATCTGGCCTTCAGATATGAAAGGCAGAGGGATTTAACACCTGTTTAGATTTGTCATCCATGTGACAAAATGAAAAGTATGCCGTTTGCAATAAACTTTGCATAAAATAGTTAATTTGCATTTAATTTTAATGGTTCAAAGAAAGTCAGGCAAAATGGTCGGCCCTCACGCATGTTCACTTCATCAAATCTGGCCCTCTTTGAAAAAAGTTTGGACACCCCTGGGGTAGGGAGTGGAGGAGGAATTTCCCCAAGGGGTGAGTGGGGTTCTCCAGAGGGCTTAGGGGCAAAGATGGAAAATGGGGTTCTCTGGGAGATGGGTGTGATGAAATGAAATCACAGTAGACCCCCAGGGTTGTCCCCCTGGTGTTCTGATCATGCCATTGACACCTGCCTTCCTACTCTCTGGAATGCTCCACCACCCTGTCCTACTGGGCCAGATCCTCTGGTCTCACGCAACCAAGGCACAGACTTGGGGCTACTGCCCTCCTGCAGAGCAGCACTGACGCTGAACCAGTTCAGCTCCAAGAGGGTTCAGCTATAAGGGCTGTGTACCCAGGTACCCTAAAAGGGACCAAATCCCCAAATAAATCCATCTTGTGTAAAAGTTTTGCTCAGGGGAAGTTCATACGGTCTGTCCTCCTTTTTCTATGAAAGAGATATGCACCGTGGTTGCTCCCCCCAGGTAACAATTATTAACACTGGGCTTGTTATTAAACAAAGGATTTTATTAAGTATAAAAAATAGGATTTAGTGTTTGCAAGTGAAAACAGATCAAAGCAAGTTACCAAATTAAAATGAACAGGAAACGCTTAGCTAGTTCTAATCCACTAAGAAACTTGTTAACTTGCAAATTCTTACCCTAAATAGCTGCTCTTATGTCAGGTAAAAGAACTTCAAATCATAGTTGATTTTTACTCTGACTTGGGTCTACTGCTTCTTCAAAGTTCTTTTGTATCCTCTTAGGTGGGCCAGGCAGTAAAGCCAGATGAAGACAAAAGGTTGAAGGCTTCCCATTGCTTAAATAGATTTTCTCCCAGAGTGGGAATCCTTTGTTTTGCTTCTCCCTTCCCCATGGAAAAATAGCTGGTTCAAAATGGATTCCAGTAGCAGGTGGCATGGTCACATGACTTGCTAGGGCCAACCATGCTTTGGGCTTATCCGACAAACAACTATTCATGGGTCATTGATTTGATCGTGGAGTCATGAAGTTTCCTGGGCACCAAGTAATAGCCCTCATTAACACATTTAGAAATATAAAGAGATTCACACTTCATATTTCTAACTTCACGATACATGCACAAAAATAGGACACACACACATTCAGCAGATTGCAACATTAACATTGATAGGTTACATGAGGTATTCTGTCTAAAGCATCTTCGAGTGATGCATATTCATATTTACAAGCCAGTTCTCATACACCATGGCTGTGTCTACACTGGCACCCTTTTCTGTAAAAGGGATGCTAATGAGACACTTCGGAATTGCAAATTCCATGGGGGATTTAAATATCCCCCGCGGCATTTGCATGAACATGGCTGCCGCTTTTTTCCGGCTCAGGGTTTTGCCGGAGAAAAGCGCCAGTCTAGATGGGATCTTGCGGAAAATAAGCCCTTTTCCGGAAGATCCCTTATTCCCACTTTCAAGTAGGAAAACCCCAGCCGGAAAAAAGCGGCAGCCATGTTCATGCAAATGCCGCGGGGGATATTTAAATCCCCTGCGGA